TTCTTTGGGAACTGGCTAGTGGAGTGGGTGTCCTAGCACCCCTGCATCCCTGCTTATCACTTTCCTGCCCAACATCAAGTTTCTAAGACTTCTAGAAGGTTCTTCAAAGGCAATAGATAATGGAAAATAAACAGCCAGCATAGATTTAGTCCATGGCAACATTTGCGATGCAGGGGCTGGGGATTCTGGAGCTGAGTCTCTGCTGAGTGTGTCCCCTCCATTACCCCCACCCTCAAACTTCCCCCACCCTGCACTCCTGGGCTGAGGGACTACGGCACTTGGACAGACACGTGTGATTGACTGTGGTATTAAGAAAATATGTATGACACAATGTTTTTTAGCTTTTTCCAGAGATATTTATATCACACAAATGGCATGTTGGTTTCTTTTTTTTTTTTTTTTTTCCTTCTCAACCGCTAAGAATAAATAAATCAATTGCTTTAATCAGGCTAATGGAGAGTGCATGGGCCAGAAAGATAGGTGGGAGGGGCTTCTCATCGGAGCCTGTGGCTTCCTTAGCAGGGGGGGCCCTGTCAAAGTCACGTCATAGCTCCGGGCCTCTGTTTCCCCGTCTTTGGGATGGGCATCTGACCACTCATGACTTTGCAGCATAAAGATGGTCGGAAGCATTTGGAGTTCATTCCCTGGACGAAAAGTAGCTGCATGAAGTTGTAATCCTCTGTCTTCAGCCCTTTGGAGCCATGTGTAGGAGCAGGGCTGTAACACAGAAAACCCACCGCTACATTCTAGTTTATAAGGTTTCTGCCTCACACAGTCCCACAAACCTGACCTTAAGAACTACTCAACATGTAGGGGAAACGCAGTTTGTTGTGGTCGTAGTTATTACATAAAAATTAATGGCTTGGCAAACACAGGGATCATCCTGTCATGCTGAGGTCATGTTTACACCAAGCAAATATATTTCAAGGTTCCTGGTGCTTCAGCAGCATTGCAAGGCAGCATCAACACGATTCCCACGCAAGTCTCGGAATTTGGAGCCAGATTCACCCTGGCTCTGGAGGGAGACATTCGTATTAATTCTGCAACTAGAATGCCATCCATTTCCAAATTCCTTACGGCTAAAGCAGATTTTTTTTTTTTTTAAAACGGAGTTTTTGCTCCCAGGCTGGAGTGCAGTGCAGTGGCGTGCTCTCAGCTCACTGCCTCCTAGGTTCAAGTGATTCTCCTGCCTTGGCCTCCTGAGTAGCTGGGATTACGGGTGCCCGCCACCATACCTGGCTGATTTTTGTATTTTGAGTAGAGATGAGGTTTCACCATGTTAGCCAGGCTGGTTTCGAGCTCTTGACCTCAGGTGACCTACCCACCCACCTTAGCCTTCCAAAGTGCTAGGATGACAGGCGTGAGCTACTGCGCCCGGCCCAAAGCAGGTTTTTTAGTTTCTAACTTGTTGAGGCCTGCTAGTGCCACTGATCAGTGAAAAAAAGAAAAGGACAATTCATAAGGTCATGGGATCCGCACTTGGATCTCATTCATTGCTTATGCATTCATTCACCAAATATTTATTGAAGAGGGCCAGGGCCTGAGATTCTCCTGAAGGCTTACACGTGGTTAACGTCTTAGAACTGGGGCCAAGTGTAGTGGCTCAGGCCTGTAATCCCAGGGCTTTGGGAGGTTGAGGTAGGAGGATTGCTTGAGGGTAGGAGTACTGGACCAGTCTGGGCAACATAGTGAGATTCCATCTCTACAAAAAATAAAAATAAATTAGCTGGGCATGGTTGTGTGTTCCTGTACTTCCAGCTCCTTGGGAGGCTCAGGCAAGGAGGATGCTATTGGCCCTGGAGTAGCTATGATCGTGTCACTGCTCTTCCTAAAGTCTCTACCAGGGACTGTGTTAAGTGCTGGGGACACAGTGGGTGGCAAAGGCAGGACGGTCCCTTCCTAGGGGAAGGGAGTAGTCAGGTCAAGAAGGTGGACATTAATCAGTAATTGCAAAAGGAAATGTAAAATTACAACCAAATTGGGAGCTGTGAAAGGAAGGCTGAGGGACAGACCATTGTCAGAGGGGGATCTGATGTAGCCTTGAAGTACAAGTGGGCAGAACCCAGCAGAGGATGGGAAGGAGGAAGGCACTGCATATGCCAAGGTCCACGGAAAGACGGGTGCAATTTGGGGACATGAAAGCCCAGCGTAGTAAGAAGGAAGGGGAGAGAAATACAAGATAGAGCTACTCTATGGCCATACAACCCTGAACATGCCCTATCTAGTCTAAAAGGTGGAGGTAGGTGCACCCACTGGAATGGCAAACTTTTTTTTTTTTTTTGAGACAGGGAAGTCTCGTTCCACCGCCAGGCTGGAGTGCAATGGCGCGATCTCGGCTCACTGCAACCTGCACCTCCCGGTTTCAAGCAATTCTCCTGCATCAGCCTCCCGAGTAGCTGGGGTTACAGGTATGTGCCACCACACCTAGCTAATTTTTTGTATTTTAGTAGAGATGGGGTTTCATCGTGTTGCCCAAGCGAGTCTTGAACTCTTGAGTTCTGGCAATCTGCCCGCCTCGGCCTCCCAAAGTGCTAGGTAGGATTACAGACATGAGCCACTGTGCCAGGCCACATTTTTTTTTTTTTTTTTTTTTATGGTGTGTTGCTTTGTCACCCAGGCTGGAGTGCAATGATGTGATCTCAGCTCACTGCAAGCTCCGCCTCCCAGTTCAAATAATTCTCCTGCTTCAGCCTCCCAAGTAGCTGGGATTACAGGTGCGTGCCACCACGCCCGGCTAATTTTTGTATTTTTAATAGAGACGGGGAGTCGGGGTTTTGCTATGTTAGCCAGGCTGGTTTTGAACTCCTGACGTCAGGTGATCCACCCACTTCGGCCTCCCAAAGTGTTGGGATTACAGGCATGAGTCACTGTGCCCAGTGCAAACATTGTTTTAAATGGAAAATAACAAGTGTTTGTTGGCAAGGATGTGCAAAATTGGAGCCCTGGTGCTGCCGGTGGGAATGTAAAATGGGACAGTCACTGCAGAAAACAGTGTGGACGTTCCTTGACCAACTAAACACAGAGTTACCACATGACCTAGCAGTTCTGCTCCCAAGTATGCACCCCAAACAATTGAAAACAAACGTTCAGGCTGGCCTCGGTGGCTCATACCTGTAATCCCAGCACTTTGGGCCGAGGCAGGGAAATCACTTGAGGTAATTTCAAATGTTCAAATGAAAACTTACCCACAAATGTTCATAGAGCACTGTTCGCAAAAGCCAAAAGGTGGAAACAACCCAGATGACCACCAGCCAGTGGATGGATCAACAAAATGTGGTTCATCCAGGCAATGGAAGAGCACTGAGCCATAAACAGAAAATAAGCACTGACTGGCGCTACAGCGTGGATGAGCCTTGAACACAGGATGCCGAGTGGGAGAAGCCCGACACAAAAGTCACACATTGTAGGATTCCACTTACATGAAATATCCAGAATTGGTGATCTATGGAGACAGAGAGCAGATTGGCGGTTGTCAGGGGCCAGGAGGAAGGCAGAATGGGAAGCAACTGCTCATGGGTACTGAGTTTCTGTTTGGGGTGATGGAAAACTTCTGGACCTGGCCAAGCACAGTGGCTGATACCTGTAATCCCAGAACTCTGAGAGGCCGAGGTGGGTGGATCACCTGAGGTCAGGAGTTCAAGACCAGCCTGGGCAACATGGTGAAACACTGTCTCTACTAAAATTAGCCAGGCGTGATGACAGACACCTGTAATCCCATCAGGAGGCTGAGGCAGGAAAATCACTCAAACTTGGGAGATGGAGGTGGCAGTGAGCCGAGATGGTGTCACTGCAGCCTGGATGACAGAGCGAGACTCCATCTCAAAAAAAAAAAAAAAAAAAGATGGTGGTGGCTCACACCTGTAAATCTCAGCAACTGGGGAAGCTGAGCCAAGAGGATGGCTTGACGCCAGGAGTTCAAGACTAGCCTGGGCAACATAATGAGATTTGATTTCTACAAAAATAAAAATTAGCTGGGCATGAGGGCAAGCACCTGTGGTCCCAGCTACTCAAGAGGCTAAGGCAGAAGGATTGCTTGTGTCCGGGAATTCGAGCCTACAGTGAGCTATGATCACACCACTTCACTCCAGTCTGGGTGACAGAAGGAAACCATGTCTTTAAAAAAAAAAAAAAGTGCTAGCGAGACAGTTGATGCGGGGTATGGATGGACCATCATCGGTGATTATGGCTGCTGGTGGGGAGTTTTTGGGAGTGGGAACAACATTAAGAGGAAGGCCAATGATGAGGTGAGGACAGTGGTTCAGGAGGGAGATGCAGGTGGCCTGGACATGGGGGCACACCGTGGGAGTGGAGAGAAGCGGGGAGATGTGAGCCACGTGTGTCAGGCAAAACCAAGAGGGCTTAGTGACAGTCTGGATGCACAATCATTCAGTATAGACTCAACCCTGCCCCTCCTACTCAGTACCTGTGTGCACTTATGAATGGGAGGGGAGTGTTGGAGGGAGAAAGTACACGTTCTCGTGGGGATGCTGAAGAACATGTCAGAAGACCCCTGGCTTCAAATTGACTTTGTTGTTGCCAGATCTCGAGAGAGAAACTTCGTTTCTTTGTGCCTCAGTTTCTTCCCCCGTAAAATCAAGGCCCCGACATGCACTTCATAGGCCATTGTGTGGAGATGAGGACAACAGCACCCGCCCTAGCTACCTCCCAGGATTCTTGGGAGACCCAAAAGAGCTGTTAATCCCTCAAGGACAACACAGATCACGTTGCTGGGCTGATGTCATTGCTTTTAGAAAGCAGGTCCCTTGAACAGATTCTCCCAAAGTAGTGACTTTAGGAGCATCTCAAAGGCGACAGATTCCAGTTGTTAAGGCTACGATGAAATAGCAGAAGACGCTGGGAATCACCGTGCGAGTAGCAGCAAAGTAGCCCCTAAGGCTCTTTCTTCTGTGCTCGCCCCGCCCCGTCCCGAGTGGGCCCCGCCCCGGCTAAGCCCCACCCAGGTCCCGCCCCCGATGTTGGCGCAGGCCACGCCCCCTCAGCGCCCAGCCTTCTGGGTCCGAGGCTCCCACCTGCGCTCAGCGCTTGGTAGCTAGGAGGGAATGGGAGGATGCTTGCGGGGTAGGGAGGCGAGGGTTGGAAATTGGCAGAATGAGAACTGGGGAAACTAGTCTGAGACGCAGCCCTGCTTGTCCCCCTTCTTCATTCACCCCCATGTTGAGGGCCTTGGCTTTTGCATAATGTAAGTACTTATTTAATGCGTGTGCTGGCTCGAGAGCTCTGCATTTGTCTTTCTGCCCTTCATATGCCAGTGTACCTCCGCCTTGTGTCTGTCTAGGTGGGAGCTCCTGGAGAGGAGGGTGCTTCCCAGCAGCTCCTGTTCGACCCCCAGCCCCGGGCCAAGGGCACAGAGAGAGAGTGAGACAGAGAGGCTGGGGCTGGGGTGGGGGTGGGGAGGTGGGAGCTGGGGCGGGGCGGGGGGAGCGCGGGGGAGGAATGAGAGCACCATATGACAGGCTTGTGGAACCACATCTGATGCCAACTTGGATGCTGTCCTTTTTCTCCAATAAAGGAACTTTTCACTTGTTTTTCAGACACCCTTTAAAAAAATGTATTTAAAGAGGCTGGTTCCTATCCATCCGACTGGAGGCATCTCAGTGCAAGAGCAAAGCTAAGTCCTGCACATACACCTCCCCTCCTCCTCCTCCTCCTCCTCC